AGCTAACTGGGATATAGCACAGCCTACTTTCCATTGCAACGCAGGTTACTATCTTAGCATATGACAGTGGCTAACCTCCGAAAGTCATGACTTCTGGTGCTTTTCCTAGCTAGGTTGTGCTATGCAGCTTGTGAGCTCCTGAGACGAAAACGTTAAAAAACTGTAGAATTTGTCATGTATTCGTTCTGCATCTCCCCACCATCATTCCTATATAGTACAGCGAGAGCCCGCTCCGTAGATGTCCTGTGGCACGGAAGTTACTTCGTTTCACCGTCTCATCAGAGTACGCGCTTAACTTAGATGTTGTATTTAATCAGCCGGAACAAGATCGCACGAGTAAAAAGAGTTGTTTGTACCTCATTAAATTCATGAATTCTGCGCATGGGCTGGTGCCTCCATCTACATTGATTACTATGTTTATTAGTTGTACGGCTGCACCACGCGCCGCTTCGTTAGCTTGGTACATTGAATAATCAGTTTGATAGACAGGAAACTAGGCTACGCATAACTCATTCACTTACAACGGCCCAGATACAGTACACTGTAGTACCGAAGTTACATGTATAGTACTTGATGTGTAGCATATAGTATATAGTATATATATATATTTAGTACTTGATGTGCAAATTTTTGTGAGCTATCTTCCATTGAAGCCCCGAGCTATACCTACCTTCTTATCTACTTTAGTTATCGGTATACGCCGAGGACACGAGATAATCTACTGTCGCGGCGTGGAAACGGCTGTGACAGTTTTTCGGACTTCAGTTTCGATTAGGTGGCGATGACTTGACCTATGTCACACTGGCACGAAGCAGTTCAGGAGCGGGGGCCAGCTAAACTATCACTACGACTACCCTATCCAGGTAGCCAGGCAAGTGGCAGTCAGGAATGATAACACATCACCAGAAGCGTATAGCAACATAAACATCAGTGTGGCGTTAACCGGTTCACGGAAAACTACAAGTGGCACATAACCTTACTTTAAAGTTTATTCCTATGAGCTGTCTACCTACAAACAAGGTCTTCGGGCCTTACTGCATATTGTAACTACCATATTCACAAGCATTCCGTTTGCTTCGTATAAGTCAAATAGTATATCTCCTGGCCGTGCCATAGCCGCTGGAGATTCTTGTAGCTGAGTTATTCTTTCAATCCCTCGAAATTCACGTGCTCGATTGATTGCCTTTCAGCTTAAAATTGTTTGATTGGTATGTCCTTTTCCAACCCGCTATTTACAGGACTTTTACTGCATTCTTTGGTGCATTCCACTCGATTAAATTCCTTTTTTCCGCCTAAGTGGAACAGTTGATTTGTTTTCTCCCTACAATCTTAGGGGCCAGGTTTCGCAACCGTACAGTAAGGTCGAACGTACCGCTACATTGTGCACTCTACCCTTCAGGGCCAGAGTAATGTCGCGCCGCCGCCATAGGTGGCGAAGGTTAGAAAAAGCACTTCGAGCTTTTGCTATACGGTTCGTGATCTCGTCTTCGATCCCAAGGGCGCTGATACAACTTCCCAGGTAGTTGAATTTTTGAACGACTTCTAGCTGATCCCCACCAAGGGTCAGCAAAGGAGGCGATCCCTGCCAACCTTGGAGGAATGCTTTGCATTTCGATGGTGCAAAGCAAAGCCCGAAGCGGCTGACAGCTAGTGCTAATCTGCCCAGCGCGGCTTGGCACGTCTGGGAGCTGTCACAAATGAGGGCAATGTCGTCTGCATATTCCAAGTCGAGAAGTCGTTCTCCTGGGAGTAGCTCCACATCTTCCAAGTCATATCTTGTAAATGCAATCCCCATGACTTCGTCAATAGCGAAGTTGAAGAGGAAAGGTGACAGCGGGCATCCTTGTCTCACACCGCTGAAGATATTGAAGGGTGGCGACAGCTTGCCGTAAGCCCTCACTCTACCCGTGCTACCCGCGTATAATGCTCGGATAATATTTACATATTTCTCGAGTACACCTTTCCTGAGTAGACAATTTCAAAGGGCACATCGATCAACCGAATCGAAGGCACCTTTGATGTCGAGGAACACGACAACGGTGGGCCGCTAATATGTGTAACGGTGCTCCAACAACTGACGCAAAGTGAAGATGTGGTCGATGCAGCCACGACCTTGACGAAACCCTGCTTGCTCCTCACGAATCTGGCTTTCACGAGCGCCAGCCAGTCTGTGAAGAAATATGGAGGCGATGGAGATCAGACTGATTCCTCTATGGTTGCCGCATTCCGAGCGCGAGCCGCCTTTGGAGATGGGAACAATAACGGAGCCGCTCCAGTCGGTTTGGACAATCTCCTGCTCCCACAGTTTCACTAGTAATTCATGTAAAGCATCAACAAGAGCAGAGCCTCCGAATTTGAAGAGGGCTGCATGAAAATCATCTGGTTCCGCGGCTTTGTTCAACTTCAACAATCCGATCTCACGTTCAACTTCTGAGCGAGACGGTGGATCCAAAGGAACAGACCACGGAGCAGGGCGATCACCGTCCGGCGAAGAATCGAACAATTCTAGCCGATTAAATTGCTTTTCAAAATGCTCAGCCCAATGCTCCAAACGTTTTGACAAATTGTGGATAGGCTGTCCACTCTCGTCACGTATAGTTTCACTAATACCAGGTCTCCTGCTGCCCGTTTCCCGTATCAGACGGAATAACTTACGATGGTTGCCAAGGGCAGAGGCCACTTCCATCTCTGACGCACGATGGGACCACCAAGATTCGCGGACTCTCTTCAGGCTAGCACGGAGTTTTGCCCGGAGCTCTTTGCGAGTTTCATTGTGTTCGCTTCCAGCCGGAATATGCCGGCGAGCATCGATATGTTCCAGAGACCGCGAAGATACCCAATGTTCATGTTGTCTATTAGACATACCACATGAGGATTTGCCTGCTGCTAGTAAGGTCTGGCGAACATATGACCAGTGAGCTTCAATTGTCCCCAGTGAGTTTTTATACTCAACTCGCATGTTAGCGTACTTCGATACGCATTCAGAACAGCTGGCTTTGTCAGTTGGCTGGTGTCAATGCTCTCACAACGTCGTCGTGGGCGTCCGCCAAAACGCATCCGCAGGTCAGCACATACAAGTGCATGATCGGTGTCCACACATGTGCTCCAAATCGAGCGACAATTCTGGATGCAGCCTCTCCAGCGGTAACTTATCGCAATGTGATCGATCTGCGTGCAAGGCTGGTTCGAGGTTGGTGGGCGCCAAGTCACCCTTCGGCGGGTGCTGTGTCGGAAATTAGTGCTCGCAAGCAATAAGCGAGCATCTTCACACAAATGAAGTAATCGCTCACCGTTATCATTACGGGAGCCTACACCGTGTTGACCGCCCAGATGCAGTTCATCAGTGGACAACTTTCCAACTTGTGCGTTCATATCCCCCGCCAGCACAACAGTGTCCGTGCTTCTTCTGTGGCGAAGGAGCTGGGTCAGTTGGCGGTAGAAGTCGTTCTTTACCGAATCATCGCTACAGTTTGTGGGCGCATAGGCAGCGATAATGAATAGACATCTATTAGTCCCGCGCGACTTCGAAGCTTTAAACGAGCCAGCCAATCGGACCGCACACATCCGGCTACTGATTGGAATCCAGTCAACCAGAGCAGCTTCAGCCCGGGGACTCAGGGCAATACCAACACCGGCTTGGCCGGTGCTCGAAGCTGCATCGTCACCGGATAGGCGCAAGGAGAAAATACTGCTTGCGTCCCCTGAAGGGGATCGCAGAGTGAGCACAATGCTCGAGTCTTGCAGGCGAGTCTCTGATAAGCAGCAGATATCGATCGAGAGGGTCTCCAATGTTCGGGCAAGTGCTGCCTGTTGACCGATCTGAAGCAACGTGCGAACATTGAGGCATGCCAATCTGAAGGAGGATCGAGGGCTCCAAATGGAAACCGATGAACTGGATTGGACCGCTTGGTTGGACATGGGCTTGTCGACAGGAGAGGAGTGACGCTCCGCGTTCACGTGTGAGTTGAAATTAGAAGGTAAATGCCTAGCAAAGCATGTTGGGGGAGGGCCAAGAATCGGGGGATTGAAAACTGGGGGGATATAAGTGAAGTTGGAAGGGGACGGTAAGAGTGAAAAAGCGTAAGACGGGGAATAAGAAGACGGGAAGGCTTGAGCAGTAGCATCCCAACCCCTATCCACCCTGCTCGATGCAGCAGATAGGGCACCGTTGATTATCCTCTGCGACGGCCAGAACATCAAGAAATTGTTTCACGAATGATTCATAGTATTGCGTGGGCAGGATACTGTCAGGTTGCTCAGGCCTATACAGGAGAACGTGTAGGGTTCTCACCCAAAGCCTTTGGTTCATAAACCTGACCGCAAGGCAGCGGGTTTGGCGTTGGGCTACAAGGAGTCCGTTTTGAGAAATAAGGAGCCACCCTCATTCTAATCCCCAAGCTGGAGGATCAGGAGGCTGAGTTTGTCTGGCCTATAAGCATTGACCAATCTGGTATGAGTGGCTCTGAAGGTGCAAAAATGCACCACCCAGCATAGCTCAATGGATCACGGAGGCACACAAACCATCGCACCGCGGTAAGGTCCAGCCTAATTGCGATGGTTCACAGGTCAGATCACATTATCTATCGTTCGCAGCGTCCCAAGCGACACGACTACTAACTCCCGTTCTACGCGCATCTGCTTTGTGCCGTGCTGCCCTCGATATTCTTGATGCTACTTGTTTCAGACATTGCACTGTTCCACCACTTTCTTCTTAGTTACCTGAAGTCTATGTGGCATTCCAACACATTCGAATTCTCGATCTAGTGACTTTCACGGATCGAGAGCTGTTCTTTGCTAGTGGTTACAACCTGGTATCCACAGGTGTTGAGCGTTGACTCACAGTACGTTTCGCTTCACGATTTAACACCAGGCCACATGTGATTGCACGTTGCAATCTAAACGCATTGATTACTTCAATCCAAATCTTGATACCGGTCAGGTTCAAAGGTCGTCCTCTTCGCCGCTTCCTTCTTACCCTTTAGTGTGCATCATGTTTACGCATGGCTATAGACGCTCCGTCTTTGGTTACTTTTCATCAGAGCGTGGGGCGTTTGCGCCACTTGCACTTCCAAACCTCATCATCGACATTCTTTTCTCCTCACGAGTTTGTTGCTGGGTTTCCCATAACATGTGGATGTGCTTTTTCTCTCTCCGCCTTCTCACCTTCAGTCCTACCAAATAACAATCGGAGTTCGCTTTCAGCTTTATCACTTTACTTGTTTTCTATTCTGTCTAGAGTGGATGAGGCACTAAATTTGGCCGAACGTATGCTAGGGCATCGGATTTACACAGTCCAAACAGGTGAAGCTGGGCAAACCTGTAACACACTGCTAGTGTGCGAACGAAAGTATTCCCGACGCGAGCACTACTTCGCCATCGTACTGGATCGAGAACTCGGTGGGCCAGTGATGCTCGGTTGTGAGCAAGGAGGTGTCGACATCGAAGGGTTGGCGCGAGATCAGCCCGATACTTTGATCAAGGTTGGTGTTTGTCTCTTCTAGCTAGCGCGATGTACTCAGTTGTGTGATGTTTTCCATATGGATTTCACTTCTAACACCGGTAGGCTACATTGGTTGGTAACATCCGTCTTCATCAGCTGAACTCCATCACTGACCTGAATTTTCAACCGGCGACCCGCTATGCAAACGCCCTTGTGATTCCGTCACTACTCCACTTCTTTCCCTTGTCTGAGTTATCCATCTAGTTCAGAGTTCATTTGGAATTCTGTCATGCATCTGTCTATTCGTCATCCTTCTATTCCCCCATCTTTTTCTCAGATGCCGATCGATATTGATGCCGGTTTGTCCCGCGAAGAAGCCGTACAAATGGCTATCAAACTGAACTTCACTACTCCGGATTTAGTTCAGCAGGGTGCCACATACATTGAACGCTTGTACAAGCTGTTTTCAGAGACAGATTGCTCACTACTAGAGATCAACCCCATCGCTCAGGATATACACGATCAAAGTAAGTTCGCCAAAAATCATTCGAATTGGGTTTGTCTGCTTATCGATAATGAGCTGTGACGACACGTTCAGGCAGCGCACCTAAACCCACCGATTCACAGTCAGTCGTTAAAAATGCTCCCACATGTGTATATAAATCCTATCTTAAGTTGATATTTATACCGATCAACTCAACTTTTTTCATCAGCCATTTGAACTGATGCTTCGCTGCCGTACAACCACGGTGACCTACGGAGCGAAAAATAATAAGAAAGAGAGAATGGCGACCTATCATAAAGCCTTAATGCACTGTACAGACATTCAACTTCAAGACGCCCGTCCCTGTCAACGGCATATCATCGTTACCACTATACATTCGCTGAAGATGCGAAACTCTTCAACTAATATTGCGAAAAAAGATGAGATATATGGTACACAACTGTTGTAACATTGCTTTCCCTTTGCCCTCTGCCACGCCAACTTAGCCGGGGACAAAACGGAACACGTGAATCTGTTATACTGAAGTATATTGGGCACAAAACACGATTAATTTTATAGGTCACCTGCTATCATCTCCGGCTTTACGTTCTGAGCTGACTCATGCCACTTGTCTGTACGGATTCCATACCTGTTATCGGTCCGCGCTGGCCAGCTGTAGTTGCGCTCATTCACATAGCAACCTGTGTCATGTTGACGGACTGATTTCATCAGCTTCCGGTTTGATCATGGCAACGAGTCTGTCAGCCGCTCACGTGGACTGGCTAATCTCGCCCTGCTAGAGTGCACCATCGTATTCAGCCATTTTGCCTCATTGACACCAACATTGCAGGATACAGATGAAAAACCAAGAAACTAATATGCTGCTCAGTATCATCTTATGCATCAGGTGTGAGGACGCAGTTGAATTGGGATGACAAGCGGGAGTTGTTGGAACAAAGAAACACAGCACAAGCACAATTTATTTCGCTCCTCTTCCATGTCAGCTAGTTTATCCACCTAAACGTGCTCGTCGTCTTTTGGGCACCAGCCTGGCAGTCGGGAAACGTCAACCGACGCCAATTTCGAAGTAAGGGACTTCATAGCTCTTGATCATGTCGTCAGTTAGTCTCCCGCAAACAACACACATCGCGTGAGTCGTTGTGCTGGCATGCGCAACACGTGACCCAGCCATCGGAGCCTGGTGCGTGGGATAACGGTGCTGGGCGGTTCACTCGCTCACCGTGCACCAAATGCACGACGCCGAAAACACTCACTCCTAACACGATGTTCCCATTGAACATGAGCTAAGCTGCGAAGTCTCGACCAAAAGTAACAGGCCCTCTTGTCTGTCGATCTAATGGGCCAGGTTTCGCAATCGTACAGAGACTTGTCTGGACGGCTGCACTGTCAACTCTGTCCTTCGGGGCGAGAGTGATGTCGCGCTGGCGCTGGAGGAGATGGACAAAAGCACTTCTAATTTTTGCTGTATCGTTGGTGATCTCCTCTTCGATCCCATTGTCGCTAATATAAGGACCGACATACGTGATTTTCGAAACGACTTCTAGTTGATGCCTACCGAGAATCAGTGCAGGACTGGGTTCCTGTCAATCTCCAAGGACTTCGCATTTGGAGGCCGCAAAGCATATCCCAAAACGATCGACAGCCAGTACCAATTTGTCTAGCTCTGCTTGACATGTTTGGGAGCTGTCACTTATAAGGGCAGTGTCGTCGGCGTACTCCAAGTCAAGAATTCCATTACCTGGGAGCAGCTCCACACCTTGCAGGTAGTGTTCATCGAGCGCAGTCTTCATGACTTCGTCTATGGCGAAGTTAAAAAGGTAACTTGACAGCGGACATCCTTGTCTCAAACCGCTGGAGATATTGAAGGGCGACGACAGCTTGCCGTAAGCCCTCATTCTGCCCGAAGTGCGCGCCTTAAGCGCTCTGATAATGTCTTCGTTTTTCCCGGACACACCTTTCCTAAGTAGACCGCACATCGATCAACCGAACCAAAGGCACGGTGGCCCACTGATGTGTATGACGCTGCTCCAATAATTGCCGCAAAGCAAAGATGTGGTCGATGCAGCTGTACCCACGGACGCCGCGGATTTTTGGATCAACGTGTGCTGGATACTACTTTTGCCTCAGATTACTGTGTTAGCAGCGTTTTATCTGTGTGAATTGTGCAC